TGTGAAGAAAATTTTTCCTAATATAGAATCTAAACCTCCCCTGGCACAAATTGAGGCCATCTCCTCACATCCTGTCACTTGTTACCTGGGAGAAAACACCAACCCTCGCCTGGCTACAACCTTTCAGGGAGTGTGGGAAGATCCTCTCCCAGGCCTCATTTTCTCCAGCTCCTTCATCAGACTTGTGCTTCAGACCCTTCCAAAGCTCTGTTTCCCTTCTCTGGACTCGCTCCTTGTCATGAGGGGCCCAAAAGTGAACACAGGACTCGAGGTGAGGCCTTACCAGTGCCTGGCACAGGGGGATGGTCACTGCCCTGGTCCTGCTGCCACACTATTGCTGACACAGTCCAGGTGCCACTGGCCTTCTGACTGCCTAAGCACACACTGGCTCTTCTTCATCCTTCATGTAGAAACAGAGAAGGAAAATTGTTAGGGATTTCTAGAAAAGAAAAAAAAAAGCAGCACATATTTCCCACCAGACTCCCTCACTGCTTTTATACTTTCCCTAGGCTGGATTCGTCACATTTATTCAAGGTGGTAAAATCTGCATGATTTGGGGCAGCTTTGTTATGGTATGAACGCAGTAGAAGCCCCAGTAAGGGGAACTGTTTATTCTAGCTCAGTGCACTCCCAGCCACCCTGGTTATAGTTCCTTTCTGGCCAGGACAGCTTTTGGAGCCTGTGGAGGACGGGAGCTTGCAGCAGCTTTCTGTCTCCACAGTCTGCTCTCCTGGTGGTCTGGCCACCTGGAGAGCTCTCCATTGGGGTGTTTGAACCACGCCTGGGCCGTGCCTGGCCCACAACCTTTCTTAGGTGTTTAACCCCCCGAAAAATACAGCAAAAAGTGCTTTATCTATTTCTACAGCTGCCCAAGATTTTGAGGTTCTTACAAATGTCAGTCCCTGCTCCATGAGGAGCTGTCAGACCTTATCTTGTGCCAAGTATGAGCGTGTGTTTACACATAGTACCATGATACTTCATGTAGGCACTTAGTGGCTTGGACATTTACCCTTTTGATGAGCCTGGAAACATCATTACAGGAACTTAAATAGATTAGAAATAGAAGCTAAAAGTAAACAATAAAAGCGCTGCAGCAGTCTTTTCTTTCTCCATGCTACTATTTTAATCCTCTTGTGAAAATCTGGGTAAGTTGATCCCCCCCCTTGTAAAAATGTTTCCTTAAAACAGACAAACCTTTGAAATTGGATCTTCTAAGAAGGCTTTGTTATTGCATGACATGTCTAATGGGTAGATGGTTCTATTACCAGGACAGTCTTCCATAACATTTTACTGCTTTGATGCCCTGCTAATGTTGTATTTTGATACATTTCCTCTTCAGTATTTACCTGTGGAGGAACAGCTCTTTCTTTTTATTTTCAACAGAATTTTTATGTGTTTCATACGAAGACTTATTAATACTTCTAGTGAATGGAAGGTTCTTTAAAAGACTCTCATGAACCATTAAAATCAAAGCACATGTGAAGTGAAATTCATAACTTATATTAAAGCATCAAGTTCAGTTTCACTTCCCAGAAGCAAGGGCACCAAATTTTGGGTGGTGGATTTTTTTTTTTAGTGTTTTCTTTTAGTTCTTAACCTACTTTGTATTCTGCAACTTTGCAAAAATCTGAGCCCTCTGACTCTTAGTTTAGTGTTTATTCTGCTATGGAGAGGTACCATGCAAAAGTGAAGAAAAAAATGAAAGAGTTAAAGTAATAAACTACTTGTGCATTTCTAATTACTACCTCTGGTAACACAAAGAGGTAAAAAAGGTTTGTGTTTGGGATCTTAAAACATGTTATCCTAGAAGCATGTTTGAATCAAGAAACATATCAAATGCTATACAAATACAATTAATGAATATAGAAGCTTTACTTTTATTTTAGTATCTAAAAGTCACAGATCCATTGCAAAGAAAAAGGAAGTGGCTGTGGGTGGGTGTGGTGGTTTTTACTTTCTGCTTAAACCACCATGCCAGTATCTAGTTTTCTGTGTGTGGGAAAGAAGTTGGCAGAAGTTACGTGGGAAAACAGTGAAGGCAAACTGAGATAGAAATAACTTTGGAAGGTGGAAAGAGTGGAAGTGAGGAAGGAAGTAAATAGGTGCATCTGGAACTTGATTTTCTTTGTAATCGAGTTGTGCAGTTGACCTTAACCCTTCTTCATGTGTCAGCATCAACTCTGGTGTATCACAGAATCACAAAATGGTTTCTGTTGGAAGGGACCTTAAAGCTCATCCACTTTCATCCCCCTTCCATGGGCAGGGACACCTTCCACTATCCCAGGTTGCTCCAAGCCCCATCCGACCTGGCCTTGAACACTTCCAGGGATGGGGCAGCCACAGCTTCTCTGGGCAACCTGTGCCAGGGCCTCCCCACCCTCACAGGGAATAATGCCTTCACAGGGAATAATGCCTTCCTAGTACCTGTTATAAACGTGCCCTCTTTCAATTTGGAGCCATTCCCCCTTGTCCTAAGGGATGTCCTTTTATATCAGAATGGATAAAAAATATTAGATGTCTGTCTACTTTTAGAACAATGTGCTGCACCATGTTTGCATCTCTTCTGCCTCTCCTGCCATTTGTGGAACTGTTAATTCCTTGTGAGAGAGATTTCTGAATGCAGACAGGGAGGACAGCTCAATGTAGGGGCAGCATCTTGCCTCAAAACAAAACCAGAGTTTTGTTCTTGCACTTTGTTGTCTTTGGAAAAGAAACCCCAAACCCTTTAATTCGTACATGTGGGATGCTGAGTAAAACTGAACAAAAGAAATGTATGTTCAAGATGATGATGTTGGCAACAAGGTGTTTACTACTCTCTTGCATGGTTGTTTTATTTTGCATTTGAAACCTTAACAAGACAGAATAATTATTTTTAAAAATTAAAAGACCAGTAATTAAGAATGAACAGTATATTATGGTTGTGATAACTGTTCTGTTTGGTTTTATATACCCTGTGTGATTTAAAAAAAAATAAAAATTGTCCTTTTCGTTTACATATGCACCTTATTGTAAAGAAAAAAAGAAATATTTAAGCTTTATCCTATATGTGCACTTGTTTTGAATCTGTGATAGTTTTAATATTATTTAATATTTCAATATACTATAGTAATAAATATTTCTGGTTTTATATGTATTTCCCAAATACTATCTAGGTATTTGCAGTTTATAACATATTTAATAGTCTCTAGATAGATTTCTGTGGTGTGCTTATAAGTTCTAGGAAGTGTCTGACATTCTAATCCATGTACATGTGCACTGCTGCATAACAGAGAAGAAATTATTTGAGTTGTGCCCGTTTTTGAGATGTTGTACAAGATGTTATGCAACACAACTGTCTCTATAAGATGCTGAGAGTCTCAACGAGGGAGACAAATAATAGGGAACAAATCCAGAGTGTAATTTCCTCGTGCTATGACTAGTGTAGTACAGTGGGTTATGCTCAGATGCTGCCAGAGTAGTTCTTGTTGTGCTCTTACATGTGTCAGGCTGAAATTTGTTACCATTAAATTAATTTCAAATGCTGTTTGCAGAATATTGGGTATAATTTCTTTATTAGATAAAAAAGAAGAACTCTACTATAGAACTCTTGAGCTGTTTATAGATAAATTACTGTTTTACTTTATTTCAAGGTAGAAGAATGCTTTCATAAGGAAATAATTGATACATTCAGTCACCTATGAAGATTTGAATCTTGCTTATAAATAAATTTTCACTATTTTTATAAGAATCTGTAGTGTTATTTTTGGCCTGCGCTCTTTAATTTACAATGAATATATTTCACTGTACAAGTTTTTGTATTTTAAAAACTCAAGTTTAGGAGGAGAGAAAACATTGTATATTTAGAATACCCTGAAGAAATACTAAAAAGCACCGGAGTTGTCTTTCACCATAATGATGTAAGAGTGGAATAGCATTTTTTTATTATGATATCCATGCAAGGATATTTTCAGTGAGCCAGCATTGGGGCATTGTGTGGGAAATGCTCAGGCTCTGCCTTGGATCAGAGGTGCTACAAATTGAAGGTCAAGCCTTCAGAATTTCTGCAGCCCTTGTGATGGCCACTGCCCATCCCAGGTCTAGGGAGCAGTCCCAGCCTCAACTGGGTGACCAGCAGCCAAGGCAGGTGTAAAGAACAATTTCTGGCATTTCTTGGAGAAGGAATACCAGAAAAAGAAGTAGAAGAAAAGTAGAAAGAGGAAGAAATACCTTACAAAAAATGCATTGTCACAATTCTTTATGACATCTGTTGGAGTGGCTTTGCCTTTTGTTTGCAGTATTGTAGGAACACTTTCATCTCTTTATGACCTCCTGTCATATCATGTTGCAGTGTAGACATTAAGAGCCTCTCATATCTTATGTATAAAAATGTTTACCTTTAATTTTTTCCTTCTGTATCTTAGCACTAGCCTTTAGATTTGGGATAAAATATCTGTTGGCATTTTACCTTCTCAAATAGTTATTTGGTAATTTTGAAAGCGACAGGGGCTGCAAATACAGAATTATTTCTAGTGGTGCGTATGCTACAGCTTTACCAACTCTTTTCTCATGGAATCATAGAATCATAGAATGCTTTGGGTTGGAAAGGACATTAAGGATCATCTAGAGAGTTGTGGCAAGAGAGGTTGCCATTGAAGACCAAGGCAAAAAAGTTGTTGAGTACCTCAGTCTTCTTGTCATTCATTGTTACCAACATTGTTTATGAAGGGCATGAGGAGTGTACACAAATGTTCCTGCAAACTGGATTTTCCTCAGTTTCCTCAGTCTTTCAGTTTCTCTCACCACATGCTTTAATGTACGCTCTTGCAGCTTTTCTGTTCCTTTAATCATATTACTTTGGTTTATAATCCTTGCACCACTCTGAAAGATCCATTTCTTAATACAGGTGTATTAAGCTTGTTGTTATTATTCATATTTTCTTCTTTTTGTCTTTCTGAAGATGAGTTGCTTTGTTTCTTTTTAATTTATTTCCATAACCTTGCAATAAACCTCTTTCTTTCCAGGTTTTCCCTGGGAGATGCTCGAAGGCCACTCCATGAAACTGCAGTACTGGTGGAAGACATTGTCCACACTCAGCTGATAAATTTGGTAAGAACATAACCAGTAAAATAGTCTTCACTCTAAAACTCCTTCAATCCACATGACATTTTTGTGATCAAATGGCTAATAACATATTGTTCTGGTTTTAGAAACAAATAAAACACAGCAACTGAGGGTGATGCTCTGGCCTCAAGAATCTGTAGAACCTACTATTTGTCTTCCCTGTGGTTATGTCCTGTGCATGTGGGATATCTGCAACCCCACCTAACCCTGGGAGTAAAACTCATGGATTTGTTTGTAAAAACATAAAGTTGCTAAAAAGAAAAAAACTGGCAATTCATCTGAAGACTTCCTTGCTAATTTTTTTTTTATATTCTAGTATTTGTGTTAATGCATCATTTACTTAGAATTTGTGCTCCAATATTCCTATTATGTGGTGTTTTGATTTCTGTCAAAAAATAATGCAGAAATATGAAACACATGAACATATTGAAAACCAATGAAAGTGTTGTGTTAATGAGGCTGTTTTGAATCTTGTCTGTCAAAAGGAAATCTAAATTTGAACCTCTCTATAGTTTTTAATTAAAGTTCAACAATGCCTCTTAAGAAATCAATGGTATTTTATGCCATGACACGAATTTGTCACCTGACATTTTGTATGGAAAGGTATACAACCTGTAGGTTGGGAAGCATAACAATTGTGTTTTTCTTATTATAGTCTTTAGAAGACGTGTAGATGTGGCACTTGGGGATGTGGTTTAGTGGTGACCTTGGCAGTACTGGGTTAATGGTTGGACTCAATGATCTCAGAGGACTTTTCCAACCTTAATGATTCTCTGATTCATATGAAATTACCACCATGTGTGGGAAGGGACATTATATGGAACTAACATATATAGATAACACTACTATATATTATAACTAATATTTACATCTGATGAGTCCCTGGATCAGCTAGAGCTTTGAGCTGCAAGTTCCTAGATCTCTTGTCTATAATGAGCCCTTTCAGCAATCAGAAGGGTTTTTAAGTTTCAAGCTAGGTCCTGGTACTACATTAACTAGAACTAAAAACTTGTGTAAAATGTAAAATTCAGAATGGGGCACGGCACATATTATAAATATGCATGTGTATGTATAATATATATTTTATATGTGATTTATATATATTGTATATATATTTATACAGATATATTACTATCTATTTATACATATTTTTATTATATATATTTTTAATAGAAATACACTATAAATGAATTTCCCTTTGCCCACTGTTTGCCTGCAGACAGGTGTTTTCCTTCAGCTTTGCACATAATCCAGCAACCATTCAGTAGTTTCCTGCATCTCAGCAAATGCCTTGGCATCCCTTCCAGCTCTGGGCAGTTTCTTTCTGCTCATACCTCTGCAGCCCAACAGTGTATCCCTGTCTCTGCAGTCTCCTGGCATCTTTGTGCCGTGGATTCTTTCCTTATTACGCTCCTCTTGGTCTGTCCTGAACGTGCCCCGTGGCTCCTTGGAGGGGACAACGTCTCTCCCCTCTCTGCGGGTTTCCCGCTGGTTAAACACGCTGCTCCGGGCATATATTTGTAATTCTTATTGCAGCTTTAACTCTGACAAAGTAACATTTTCTCTCTGTTAATGACCCGTGTAATTTATGCAAACCGGTGGCCGCGGCTTTGCTCTTCCCTCTTCCCTCCGCAGTAACGCGGTGGAGTCTGTGCTGCTCAGTCCCGCTGAGCTGAGCTTTACACCAAACCCTGCCTTTGAGAAAGCGCAACCTGCGGCCATGTGGTCTTTGCACTTTAATCAAAGCCGGGCACTTACTCGGGGGCCGGCGTGACCCGGGGTTAACCCCGCGTGGGGTGTAGGAGCGTGTAGGATTTCCTGACAGAAGGAAGAATGGGAACGGAGCGGCAGATAAACAGCTTTTCTAACCTTTCCCCTCCCAGCCCGAGACAGCACTTTATTTGTGAGGAAGTGAAAGTATCTTTAATAGCTCATTGCTTTGACCTCTGACATTCACATGCCGGAACTCTTAAATCAGGAGCGTTTTACATGCTCCGGACTTCTGATAGGGGATTTTGCACATTTGTCATCCTTAGCTGCGTGTCCTTATTGAGCTATTCTATGTAGCCATATGAAATTTTCACTTTAGTTGTAGGTATTTGCGTGGGTATTTGCCCAGTAGTAGAAAAATGCTATTTTCATAATTGAAGCTGACTGCAGATGTGAATTTATTGCTCACCACCCAGATTTTGTCATATTATTCATGTTAATGGACTAGGCAGTTCTCACTATGTAATGTAGTAATTTCTTCTCAAAATTCATGTCCATTTTTTCCATAACTAACACATGTGTAAGGCTAAACTGTAGAAATGACTTTTATGCCTACAATAAAGCTGGCACGTTGCACACATCCTTCATAGTAAACATTTGTAAGAAGAGCTTGTAGTTGTTGATTAAGTCCAGGTTTGAGCTTCTGAATTAAAAAATAAGTTGCCAGCATGATTACCTTTGATTGGTTGACTTTTGATATCTCACAGGTTTATAGTTCCAGCTTCCTATTTTCAGAGTTGATCTGAAGTCTATTAAATCAGGGTCTGGTATGGACAGATTTATACAGTCACTGCTTCAAACCACTTCATGAAGTCCGGCTGCTGGAGCAGATGGGGCACTAACAAGGCAAATTCCTGGAAAGCAGACTCGTAAGAGTCTGCATCACGTTTTATGATCAATTTTTGGGTGTATTTTGAACAATATGTACACTGCTTTACAGTGAGGGAAATTCTACTAAAAGCGTATAGCAATGTGTAGAAGGAAATGAGCATCTCCAGAGGAAGATTCATGTCATCCTAAAATTACTTTCTGAGTTGAATGAGCTTGTATCTCTCAAGGAATGTATTTTCTCAGCTGACTAATAAAGGGATCCTTTGACAGCTGGCTGGGGTTTGAATATCTAGGAAATCAGCCTAAAGGTTAAGAGATAAATTCTATCCAATTTGTGTCAGGATGCTAGCATGAGTTTGAATTTTTTATGCTTATATTGTAATTATAATTCTTTTGTTATTTGCATATCAAGCAGTAGAAAACCATAAAAACCCTATGCTAGAAGGAGAAAGTTCTGTACATTTTTTGGTCAAGCATAATGTATTTGAAGAGCACAATGAATTCAAGTTAAATATGAAATCAAATTCACCGTTGACTGATCTAAACATTCATCTATAGGTAAATGTTTAAGGGATTTATGGATGCCTTCATATTACTCTAAAACTGTATTTATTTATGTGTGCTAAGACTAGAAGTTCCAATCAAGGCTATGTTGTTCTATATGGTTAAGCACAAGTAGCAGTACACAAGTAGTATAAGGAAAATTGTGCCTGCAAAAAAGGTTCAACAGGGAATGCAAAATCACAAAAGGGACAAGCTTTTAAATTACTGACTTTTGGTGTGGAACGAGGCCTCTTTTAGTTCCTTCTTTCATGGTATTCTATACAATCTGCATGTGCAGTAAGAAGGTTATGAAGCATCATCTTTTATAATAATTAATATCTATTCAGACCCTTCAAAGGGGAACTCAGAGATCCTACTTTAGGACAAATCAGTATTATTCAGCACTTTGTCAAAAAAAAAGAGGCTGTAACTAAGAGGAATGGAATAGGAATTTTTGTTCATTATTAAACTATCATTGAGAGGTTTGTCATCAAAATAGCTTAAGTCTTGAACACATACAGATGTAAAATTTTTTGGAAATTGTTTTATATAATATTTAAGAAAGAGGAAAAGTCCCTCCTTGCCTTCACCAGCTCTCTCCAGAATTTTTATCATGCTGGAGTGGATCATAAGAAAATGTAGTCCTATTAGACTAATATTAAAACCTATTATTGTCTTCTCTTGATAGGGCCATAACTCCCTGTTCATGCTTCAGATGTCGTGATCACAGGTGAATAGACAATAAGATCACAATGTGCTACTTAAATCAAAAAGACTACTAATGAATTACCTTCCTGGTGCTGGGAATGTGTCAGCTGGGTGTTTGTTACCAGAATGCAGTACCAGCAGTTAATTCTTGGGGCATGCTGAGTGTGGCAGGAGAAGTGCAGACACCTGCTTTCACAGAATTTGGTTATAGATTTGAACTTCGGTCCTTTACATTTTTTTTTCGGAGATATTGAATGGCTTCTGGGGAGAGATTAGATTTGTTTTTACAAAGTGAAAGATATTTCAGTGGTAGAACAGGGTTCAGCAAGGGAATATGAAAATTACATGTATGCACACCAAAAATACAGGTAAGTAACTTTATCTGTCCATGAGGGAGTGGCTGCTTGGAGGGAAGGCTACAGCACATTGCAGCAGCCTTGGACTGCATCCTTTAAATGTTTTATCTGCTGTAATTCTTTGTAATGTGTGATAAGTCATCGTGGAGGCTGTCATGAATGATAGAATTCATGTTAATAGAATTGTGGTTTTCTCCCTGTCAGCTGATGTGTGTCTGCTGGAAAGTGGGCTCTGATCTCTTCAACTGATGTCAAATGATTTAAGCCAAACCCACTCGGTTGGCTTTTTTTAGAATGCAGTAGCATCAACTCAAAGGAACTTCAGTTGCCCAAAATCATATTGAACGTGTTGTCTGTTGGGATTTTTTTTCATCATTTACTTTTATCTTCCTATGGAAGAATTTAATTTCATACAACTTGTACTGCTACTTAATACCATAAATATCCCACTCTTGCTTCCTTTGTAGGTTTGGGTCCCATGTTACATATATGCATATATGAACACTTTGTGTGTACACATGGATAATTTTAATTTTTTTCTTGTTTATTGCTTCTGGAAATTATTTTCCTCTTACACAGATAACATATTTAATTCAGAATCAGCCCTTTCGTCTCAACCAAAGTGCAAAGCACAGGTCAGCAGGTGAATAATCTGCACTGGAATACACAGATTATATTAATTTGCAGCAGTAATTCATAGGTAGAAAACTTAAGAGTGAGATGCAAAGATTCAGCAGTATGCCAAATCCTGAGTAAGTCCATAGTAAATCCATCCTG